CTTCTAAAGATACCTGCAATGTATTTAATAATTTTAAAGCATTTAAAATTAATAATCAAAAAAAGGATGTCCGGCCGGTCGGACCGGTCAGACCGGGTAACAACCGGCCGTCGCGGCCGGACACCAAGTGGGCTGTACGACCGGTCCGTTTGTACAACCACCGGTACGTACGGCCACCAAAACTGGACGGCTGGAGGTTTGTCCGGTCGAACCGGCCGGACGTGTGTTAAGCCGTCCGGTCTGGTCGGCCGTACATCACCGGTGCCGTGCGGTAAAACGGGCCGGATGGTTTTTTTCTTACCTCCGAGCTGGTCGACATCTTGCGGACACAAAAAATGAAAAGAGCAAAATCGTCCAAGGGGAGCGGTGACTAGTAATAGGGAGGCGGTCAATAGTAAGGCCCTTTTCTTTTTCAAACGTCAACAACAACAACAACATAGCTTGTTAGTGTCAAGCAAGTTGAGGTAGGCTAGAGATAAAACCCAAGAGAACTAATGGTAAGAGAAACACAAAAGGGCTCAAAACAAAAGGAAGAGATTGTAGCAAAAGAGAAAGGAGCAAAAGTCACGGTTCTGGCACACGTTGATTGCTAGCCTCCAAGCACTCCTATCCACCGCTAAATCCTTGGAGATATTCCAATCTTTAAGGTCTCTCTTAACCGACTCTTCCCAAGTGAGTTTAGGCCGACCTCTACCTCTCTTAACATCATCGACCCGCTGTAGAACTCCCATATGCACCGGTGCCTCAGGAGGCCTCCGTTGGACATGTACGAACCACATCAGCCGATGTTGAACCAATTTCTCTGCAATTGGAGCCACCCTGACCCTATCTCGAATATCCTTATTCCGGAATCTATCCCTTCTTGTTTGCCCACAAAACCAACGCAACATACGCATCTCTGCTACACTTAGTTGTCTTTTTGTAGGCCAACATTCATCACCGTATAGCATAGGTGGGCGAATCGCCGTCCTATAGAACTTATCTTTTAGCCTGTGTGGCACCCTCTTATCACAGAGAATGCCCGAAGCTTGACGCCATCTCAACCAACCAGCTGCAATTCTACCCCTAACATCTCCATCAATGTCGCCATCCTTTTGTAGCATCGATCCTAAATACCGGGAAGTCTTCTTCTTGGCCACCACTTGCCCGTCAAGGCTAACGTCACCATCATCATGTGTAGTCATGCTGAAAGCGCATGCCATGTACTCGGTCTTCGTCCTACTAAGTCCACAACTCTAACTTCCTATTTACCCCTGCCCTACTCTCGTCAACTAGCACCACACCATCAGCAAAGAGCATACACCAAGGGATATTACCTTGTATGTCTCTTGTGGCCTCATCCATCACTAAGGCAAATAAATAAGGGCTCAATGTTAAACTCTGGTGTAGTCCTATTTTAATTGGGAAGTCGCTGGTATCACCCCCACATGTTCGGACACACGTCATCGCATCCTTGTACATATCCTTGATGAGGGTAATGTACTTAGATGGGACTTTGTGCTTTTCTAAAGCCCACCACATGACATTCCTCGGTACTCTGTCATAAGCCTTCTCAAGGTCGATAAAGACCATGTGCAAGTCCTTCTTTTGGTCCCTATCTCTCCATTAATTGTCGTATTAGGAAAATCGCCTCCATGATCGACCTTCTAGGCATAAAGCCAAACATCAAATTTCATTATTACTATTCAAAAGTACAAATCAGTAATCAACTGACTACACTTGGTAACACTTTTTTTTTTTAAAAAACGATAGAACCATACTCATATAACAATAAAAACAAGTACAACTAGGAGGATCAAAGGATCCTAGAGTACAATAGAGATAACCCAGAAATACATGCGCAGTTGCCCTAAACTCCAAACATATTACAAGCAAATAAAACAACAAACCAAAAAAGATTACAACACAACTATCTAATACAAGCAAATAAAAAACAACAACAAGCTACCAACTAAACAACACAACCAAACATAAACCACATGGACGAACAACACAGAGCCCCCAAGACCAACAATACAGGCCAAAGGCAGCAATAATGGTTGATCTCTCCACCTGCAATGAGCCTACACATAACACCTCACATACCAGAACCAGAACTAGAACCAAAAAACAAAAATTAAGAGGACATGTCACCACTGAACATGAATCAGGACCTAGTCACAAGCCATCAAGTCTAGAGCCTCATGAACTGCCTGACAATCCAAGAATTCTCTCCAATCTTTCACTGTAGCCTGGACCACCTCCCTTTCTGGCATCAAACATTTTTGAAACTTCCAGATAACCACCACAAAATGTATGTGGTTAGCTGTATTCTTTTCTGAGAAAATTTGGATTTGTCCAAGGAGCAGATAGCCCACCACCATCTTTTAAAGCAACATGTATCTCCTGATAATCTATCCCAATCAACTGGAGCAATTTTTAAAACCAACTGAGCTCTTCTACATTCAAGTGAGAAAGCTATAGTGGGTCATGTAAGCTACAAAGATGTGAAAATAATAAAGAAACTTGCTAACATTTTTGATTTATTACTCGTGTAATTTCTTGTTGTAATTACAATGCTTGTTAATACTGTAATAAAATAAGATAAAAATGGGTATTTTTATTACTTGTACTTGAAGAATGGGTATTTTTTATTACTCGTACTTGAATGATTAACCAGTGATATTTTGTTTTGTAGTCCTATTTTTATATACTTGACGAACAGGTGTTTTTTATATATTTTCTCTCAGGGACGGATCTTGAAATTAAGAGTAGACTTGGTTAGAATTTTAAAGCACATTTTTTCTTCAAATATTCACTGAAGTTAAGCTCGACAAACTTCTACCAAAAAAAAAAAAAACATTATGCTTATTTTGCACCGTATTTGATGTGTTTTCACTAGTTTGACGTCGATCCCGTTTTCTAAATAACAATTATATTAATGGGTTTCCTTGTCTTGCCAAAGGTTGGTGCTGCATGTGAATTTCTAAAATTTCCATAATACAAATAAATAGATTATATGGCACAGTTTATAACAAAATGAAATGCCTGGACATCAAAAGTTTTTATCCAACTATGATATACAACACCCACACTAGAGGATAAGAGTTAAAAAAACACACACAAATACACACACACACACACACATATACAATTACTAATTCATACACAATAAAAAAAAAACAAGAATTGCAAAGAAATGATCTTAACAATTACTGTTAGCACCCTAAATAGCTCACTAAAATGAGAAGATAGATGAAAAGCAATTAGACAAATGAACCAAATAATTATTAGGGGTTTTGAAATTATAACTAACTATTAAAGAATAAATTAATACGTCCTCTTGAAAATAGTCTCTTTCTTGTTGAATATCTTTTAGTTTTTCTTTCTAAATTCAATTTCCTGGTGTATTTAAAGGAAGGACATGGTCGTGACTATTTATTTGATTTGAGTTTGGTGTTTAGTGTTTTTGCGGGTTAGTGCCTAGTGGAAATGGTGGATCACTAATATATTATATTTTATTAGAATGGTGTTAATAATCTTTGGACTTAATATATAAGTGAATTATTTTGGTGGGTTTGTATTTATTGAACTAGGCTAGAAATATAATATTATATTTTTCAAACTAATAGTTGTTAAAGTAAAAGAATCTTGGGCTTCAGCCTAGCCCATGCCTCATTTAGATTCGTCCATGCTCTCTCTCTCTCTCTCTCTCTCTCTCTCTCTCTCTCTCTCTCTCTCTCTCTCTATCTCTCTCTCTCTCTTTCTCTCTCTCTTTCTCTTTCTCACTCTCTCTCTCCCTCTCTCTGGCTAATCAAGCGACGACTAACCAACACCCGAGCCAAAGGACTCCAGTAGACCCATGTTACTCCACTCCCCCGACAAGTTTGAGCATTGAGTTTGACGTGCGAAAAATTAAATACTTTACTTTTAACACAAATACAACTAATTACCTCCTTATAAACGAATAAAAAGTAGGACATAACCTTATTTAACATTCAAAGACTCCTGTTTTTACCTGCCAAAAACACACAAAATAATGAAGCATAAACAGAGAACATGTGATGGTCTTCTCTTGTCCTCCGTGTATGCTATACCTAAATAAACACTTAATAGTTGCAACATATATGTACATCAAAGTCTTTGACTCCATTTTTTTTATTTGAGATATGTTATCTTCAACACCAAAACTCTGTAAGATACATTCCCGTGCACCATATTATCACCACCTAAAAGTATTTCATAATTATGGTTACATACTCAAAAAAACAAGAGAAGCAACTTTATCCACCTCCTAGTTATCCTCCTCATACTTGTACCACCTCATCAACACCTTATCATTCCTTGTCCATTGGCACATCTCGCACGACCCACTCTTTTTTTTTCGACTAAATGCAAGGGTTTGTGTAAAAACCATGTATAAGAAACTGAATTCAGATTACTCCACAACTTCTGGGACAATGGCCAAATAACAAGAAGTGAAATAATTACAAAAAAGGAAAACAAAATCAATGTTTCTTCCAAAAGAACAATACACAAAATAAAATACACAATTCCAAACAGAATACGTCGCTTCAAACAAAGTCCACAATTGCTAACTCCACATGTACATAGTTGCAGTTTGCTGAGTTCCAATATTAGCTTCACACCCCCACAAATTCGACGCGCACAACCTCCGTCACCAAATAGTAACCAAAATGAGTCTCATTAATGTCATAAACATTAGACAATGAATGTCCCTAACAACACTATTACACACCACACTAAAGATTCAATCTAAAAAAGATGAGAAAATGCATTTGCTAATTTCATATCACCTATTATCTTAAGGGCTCCTATATCAAAAACAAAAATAAAAATAATTAGATTATTCAAATATTGATTTACAAAGCAATATTTTACGGGGGAAATTCCATCGTATGACTTGAATTTTGGGTATTGTGTCATAATAGAGTCTAAATTTTTAATTTTTTTTTTCAATTGAGGGTTTCACTTTTAAGTATTCTTAATATAAGACTTACTTTTACTTTTTAGTTTTCAATTTAAGACTCCACATCACATTGTATTTTGACATAATTATGTAAACCACAATAATTTTTTTTTAAAAAATTATTTTTTAAGTACTTATAATGAAAAGTATTAAATATCTTAATAAAATTACCTAATAAGACAATTATTTCATAATTTACATTTATACAAATGCTTAATGAAATTTATTTTAAAAGTTAAAAATAAATTTTAACTTAATTTAATCTAATACGTCATAACAATAAAAAATAAACTTTTTAAAATAATATTTTTAAATAAAATTATATAAATATTATTTGTGAATGAAAATATATATATTTTTGAAAAAACTAAGAATATATAAAATTAATATCTATAATAAAGTATTATATATTTGTAAAACTAGCTTCGTAAGACAATTAATTCAAATAAATTACACTTATGCAAAGTTATTTTAGCTTAAATGATATTAATTTCTTACTAAAGTAAATTACAAAAGATATTAATAATAATTTTAAATATAAATTTTAAAATAATAGTATTTTGATTTATATATATATATGCAAAAATATAAAGTTACTTGGTGCTTTAAGAACTAGAATGTAAAAATAAGCATTTAGTTGAGAATAATTTAAAGTTGAGCCCTCAAATGAAAAAGTTGAAAATTCTGACCCTATTGTAAATCAATAACAAAAAGTCAAGTTCTACAATAGAATTTTCCCCATTAGAACATCATTCTGAAAGCTTTCAAATGACACATTACGATCAAAAATTGAATATCTAGATTATTGAAAAATTTAAGTATTTTTTTATTCACACATGTGCCTACCTTTTTCGACGATCAATTACCGACAATTTAATTTGTCTCGTCATTGGATACAAAAGTCCTAAATAAATTTAAATATTAATTCAAAATTCATCTTTAGTTGAGTTATTTATTTATTTTTTTTTTCTTGGTATCTATTAGAATTTTTGATAGAAGAGATAAAAACTTTTATATACTTTGGAAGACAATTTGTTAAAAAAAAAAGTTTTCCTGGCAAATTTGAAATGTTAACGATTAAAAAAAAAGTTATTCTAAAGGGGTGATTGTTTATCAAATCACCAAAAAAGAAAAAAAAAAGACAATCAAAACTCAAATTTAACTCAATTTTAACTCAACCTCACTATCTCCTATATTATCAATACAATTAAATAATATCAATAAATAATTCTTACATATCACATCAACTTTAATTCACTATTCATCCACTCACATAATTTTAACTAACAATTAATTCCAATCATTTTTCTATTGCTTTTACATCATATCAACTTTAACTTTTTTATTTTAAATATTATTTTAATATATCCACGAACAACTAATCATACCAACTTTTTTTTTTCAGAATTAACTATAGTTAAAAAAAACCAATTAATTTCTAGATGAATTCCTAAAGGCAAAATTGCGGCTAATATCATGACCTTTATCGAGATTGCAAACTAATCACAACCTTTTAACTTTTGCATAATATATCACGCCCTTCAATTCTTTGCAAAACGATACATATGCTGCCCCAACTCGTCTGACGTGGCACTCAAAATGCCAACGCACCTGATGATGTGTATTTAACAGACGATTTTTTTGCATAATTAATCACAACCTTTTAAATTTTGCATAATATATCACGCACTTCAATTCATTGCAAAACAATACATGGTTTAACCGATGTTTTTTTTTTCATCTCATCTGACGTGGCACTCAAAATGCCAACGCACCTGATGATGTTTATTTAACAGACGATTTTTTTGCATAATTAATCACAACCTTTTAAATTTTGCATAATATATCACGCACTTCAATTCTTTGCAAAACAATACATGGTTTAACAGATGTTTTTTTTTTTCATCTCATCACTGGACGAGATGAGGGGGAGATTTTGGAACCACTGGGAATATATTAGGCTAGGGCTGGAGAGAAAACAGATTATTGAGACTTTTGTCTTTTTTCTTTTCATCTCAAAACTCATTCTCTCAACAACTTTCACTTGGTTTTCTTTGAATTTTGCTTGGATTCAAGTTTTGGAGATTGTGGCTCTCCATAACGAACACGATTTGGTTTGTAATTCGATTTTATTCTCGACTTGGATAAATAGTAATTTCCTTTAATTTAATTATGGAAGTGATTTATTATGTTGAATCTTTTGTTGGGATTGATATCAGTATGTGTGGCTAAATCGCTTCGTTAGGGCTAGGGGATATTTGTTTTGGTTCGATTGAGATTCATGTGAATGTGTTTGTCGTTCAATCTATTCGAGTTGTGCTTAATCTAGGGTTAGATGTTTGATCATCATTTTAATCTAGTTAATCAATTTGTAGAACCGGAATGGGAGAAATTGATTGATCTCGGCTCGTTTAGAATAGGCTTGTTCGTTAATGTATTGTCTATATGTTAATTGTTTGATAATTGATCGTTACGAAGAGTTATTGAGAACAAGCCTCTAAACGAGTATGTTATTTGATCTCTTAACCGAGCGGTTGCGTGCTAATTGATTGCTTGAGAACCATAAACGAATATCTCCGACTTCCTAACTCACCAATCATTATTTGAACTCCATTTGGAATTTGAAGTGTGTCTTGCTTTATTTTTAGAATTTGTAATAGATAATCAAAACAAAAAACAATTGAATTAGATGTTTCCGATTTGTTTTCTCTTTTCGTGTGATTGAATACACGTCCAAAGTAATTCGGCTAACCTTCCTTGAGAGACGACCCGGTGTTTGAATCTTTTCGTGTTCCAAAATCTCCAGGTCTAGCCTAATATATCCCCAAGGGTTCCAAAATCTCCCCTGATCTCGTCCAGGGATGAGAGGGAAAAAAAATCATTTGTTCAATACACGTCATACGAGTTGGGGCAACAGATGAAAACCGTGTATCGTTTTGTAAAAAAAATTAAGGGCGTGATATATTATGCAAAAGTTAAAAGGTTGTGATTAAATATGCAAAAAAAATTCGTCTGTTAAATACACGTCAGCAGGTGCGTTGGCATTTTGAGTGCCACGCCAAGCGAGTTGAGACAACAGATGTATCGTTTTGCAAAGAATTGAAGGTCATGATATATTATGCAAAAGTTAAAAGGTTGTGATTAATTTGCAATCTCATTAAAGGTCATGATATTAGCCGCAATTTTGCCATTCCTTAACGTTTGGATATATTTTTTTTTTTGGTTGGATTTTTTTGTTTGGTTTGATAAATTTTTAAAAGGTGGTATAATTAGTTGTTAGTAGGTATATTAAAATAATAATTTAATAAAATAATTAAAGTTGACTTGATGTAAAAGTAGAGCTGTACACGAACCGAACGTTCGCAAACAAAAGCTCGTTCGAGCTCGTTCGTGTTCAACAAAAGCTCGTTCGTTTATTAATCGAGCAGAGTTCGAACAGAAAATTAGGCTCGTTTAATAATCAAACGAACACAAGCTCGTTTGTGAATGTCGATTATTTTCGCGAACATTAATTTAATATAATTTTATTTTATTTTATATATATTTATATAACATTTTTAATAAAAAATCTAAAATTTAATATAAATTTATTTATTTTTTATATATCTACATAATATTTTTGATAGAAAATAATAAAAATATTTTTATTTTATTCATTTATTTTCGAGTTCGAACGAGTTCGAACGAACAAAATTCGAGTTAATCAAACATATTTAACAAGTTTATGTATTAAATTATTCGAACACGAACGAACTCGAACTTTTGCGAACAATTAAACGAACGAACTCGAACACAATTTTTTGCTCGAAAAATAAACGAACGAACACGGACACTGTTCGAACGTAAATGAGCACGAGCTCGAACAGCCCAAGCTCGGTTCGGTTCAGTTCGTTTACAACACTATGTAAAAGTATGAAAGAGATGATTTGAAGTGATAGTTTGTTAAAATTACGTGAGTGGATGAATAATGAATTAATGTTGATGTGTTGTGTATGAATGATTGATTGATATTCCCTCATATTATTTTTAAATGTCATTATAGCCTTATCAACTATTTGCCAAATAAATGTCGTTTTAGATCTTTTGTACATATTTTTTCATTATTACCTCATTTAGCTAATAAATACATTACGTCTTTTCATATTCAGTCTTCACTTTTTCTCAAGACATTTATCTCTATCTTCATTAAATAAGGTTATTATTGACAAAAAAATTATTCTTAATTAATGTGCAACTTTTCAAAACGATATATATTAAAAATAGAAGGGAGTATTATTTATTTATATTGATAATATTGATGATAATAGAGTTGAGCTAAAAAATGATTAAATTAAAAATGATATGATTTTTTTTTAGTTAAAATTGTATCCAATCATTGCTATTTACTTTGGAGGTTGTGAAATTCTCTATTAAAAAATTGAGGAAAAATGCCAATAAAAAAGAAAAAAAAAAAGTTTCAATTGCAAAAAGAGGACAGTAAAAGCTACTCTCACACACACACTGGCTCCCAACGGTCCAATGCACCTCACGCCTCACTCCTGCACCCAAATAAACCCTTTTCATCTCTATCCATAATCTCTCTCTCTCTCTCTCTCTCTCTCTCTCTGGATATTTTCGAAATTGAGTGTATGGAGCCCGTTTTGGATCCACCACCGTTGCCGGACCAACTGACGGCAGCCGTCCCCGACGCCGCCACCGCCAACCCCGTCGCCGCCCAAACTTACGCCCACAAGCATCCCCCTTACGCTGAGGTACTTCTTTCACTTAACCAGAACACAATCAACCCTCTATTCCTCTGTGAATTCATTGTGTTTCATTTCTTCATTTTTTTTTTTAATTTTGATTTTGATTATGTGTCCTGTGCAGATGATAACGGCGGCTATTTCGGCGTTGATGGAGCCAAACGGATCGAGCAAGAGGGCCATAGCTAAGTACATAGGGGATCACTACTCTGACCTGCCATCGACACACGAGGCTCTGTTGACTCACCACCTCAAGCGGTTGAAAATCAATGGGCAGCTCCTCATGGTGAAGCACTCCTACAAGCTCCCTAGATCTGCTCCCCCTCCCCCCAACGGTGCTGTTAACGCCGTTGCTCCTCACCCTTCTCCCGCTGGGCCCAAGAAAAGGCCTGGACGCCCTCCCAAGCATAAGCCCGAGGCCGCTCAAGTTGCCGTTCCTGTCTT